GAGACCCGGCTTCCCGTCTGCGCGTGCGCGCGCGTGCGCGGCGCCTGCAGAGAAGGCTGGGCGCCCCAGGGCACGGTCGGGGTGATTTCCGTCTCCGCGCGGCTGGACCGGGTCGTCCGGGGTGTCCTGGGCGTTGCCACGCCAGAGCCGCCGTTTTCCGCTTGGCCCATGGCTGCGTTTGGTGAATTCCAGCGCTGAGTGTGGGAGTTCCCACACCGCTGCGAGCTGGGAGCCGTCCCCGTGGTGCCGAGCAGTGGCGGGCCACGCCCGTCGTCACCCAGTCCATCCCACCTCTGGGCGAGCCTGGGTGTGGAACGCCGTCGTCCGACGTTGCGGCAGAGTCGCCAGGCCTTTCCTTGGCCGTGCCCCCAGCCTCCAGTTGGCAGCCAAGCCGGTCAAGCCTCTGCACCATCCGGGCACGCTTGCAGAAAAACCCGCGCTTTGTATTCCTTGTGGGCGTTCGGGGTCCTTTTGAGCGGCTTTCTTATCTTCCCCTGGAGTCTTTCGGACCGCAGCCCAGTTCCAAAAGGACAACACCGCCCACACCCACCTGTGCGCCCCCCAGTAGCTGCTCCCATTATCCTCGTTTTGCAGATGAACCAGGCTCCGGAAGAGAACATGATTTGTCAGGGCGCCAGGAATCATCGTGTTGGCAAAGCCCTTGGTATAAAAATCCTGTTAACTGCGCTTCCCAAATTGCAGCTAAGGACTGAGGTCTGGGAGGCGGGGAACCAAACCGGCTCATGGGTCCATTCCAACTCTTAGTGACCCTAGAGGACAGACTAGAACTGCCCGGGTAGAGATCCCAGATTTGAACTCTAGGGAACAGACATTTCATCTGTCTTCTGTGGAGTGGAATGGCTGGTGGTTTTGAACTGCTGACCTTGTAGTTACCAGCCCAAGTGGTAACCACTGCAGCACCAGGGTCCTTTCTCCTCTCCCCGCCCCACGGGCTTAGCACAGGGCCTACTTGCTGCTCACCAGCCCATCTGACCCAAAGTGAACCTGTATTGGGATTCAGAGAGTGTCCATACAGAGCAGCTGGTAGGTTTGAACTGCCGACCTTGTCTTTAGCAGTTTGGCACTTAACCCACAGCACCACCAGGGTTCCTTGCAGCCTCCTTCTCCAGGAAACCTAAACCCGCTGCCACTGAGTCAATTCCAGCTCACAGCGACTCTACATAAAGTTTCTGAGGCTTTGTAAGTCTTTATAGGAGCAAACAGCCCTATCTCTCTCCCGTAGAGAGACTGGTGAGTTTGAACCGCTGACCTTGTGGTTTGTAGTCCAACGTTTACCTGCACAGCATCACAAACCACCGCTCACAACTGCTTTATCTTTCTGGAAGAGAAAATATAATCTTTTATTGAATTGCAGTTTTTCTTTGAAATGTCTCTGTGACTTTTCCTTGGGATTTTTTCCCTTTTCCAATAGAGTATTATTCAACGATCCCTAGTGGCGCTGTGGTTTTAAGCGTCGATCCGCTAACCGCAAGGTCGAAGACTCAAACCTACCACCTGCTCCCTCCATGGGGGGAAGGTGAGTGAGGCTGTTGGCTTCTTTCAAGATTTCAACCTTAAGTAGGGGCACTATGAGTCAGTGTCAAGTTGATGGCAGCGGGTTTGGGATTTAGGTTTCCTTGTTTGTTTGTTTACTGGGGGAGGTTAGCCAAACTGTAGGAGCCCTGGTGGCATGGTGATTATGTGTTGGGCTGCTAATTGCAAAGTCAGCAGTTCAAAACCACCAGCTGCTCCTTGACGGAAAGGTGAGGTTTTCTGCTCCTGTAAAGAGTTACGGTCTCAGAAACCCACAGGGCAGTTCTACCCTGTCCTGTAGAGTCGCTGTGAGGCAGGATCAGCTCGATGGCGGCGAGTCTGGTTTTGGATTTGACAAAAAGCTCACACAAGCACACACACCCCTCCCACTACACACACACACACACACACACACTTTACAAATGGACCCTTTTCAAGAAATGCAAGTAACAGTGTTCATGGGAAAGTGGAAGGAAGAAGTTCATGGACTTTGGCAGGAACCTTCTGAAGCTCCCTGGTATTTCTCCTTTCTGGTTCCATCCCCGAAGCCCCACCGGAGGGGCCCCGGACTCTGCTCTCACTGATGTGTCCGGGATGCCAAGAGAGCCAGAGAAGGAGGCGACCTTTGGGGCCAAACTGCATCATCAGGACATTTTTCTCTTCTGTCCACTGGTCCCTCTGTGACTCACTGGACCAGGGCCCAAACGCCAGCCCCTCGAGCAAGGCCAAACAGCAGTGGTGTTGTTAGGCCCTGGGCGGGTGGGCAGGCAGAATGTGTGGTTCCAGCCGGGGGAGAGGCCACCTTCTGGCTCTAGTGAATTCCTCCTCTACTCCCTTCCCTTTCCCTCCCTTTCCTGACAGATCCATGAGACCCAGGAAGTTGAATTGACATCAGCTAGGCTCCCAGGTGGTTTTTATCTCAGAGCAGCTACACCAAAGAGGAAGACTGGGGGATGGAGCGCCCAAGGAAATGACCAAACCGGTGACAAGGGCAGCTGGCTTTTAGCAGCTTCCTGGGATGTCATAGGACATGGGGCTTCAAATCAAGGTGCACCCACGAGAGACAGAGCCAGGTTGCCCCATGCTCACCCCCCGCCCCAACCTCCATCACCTAGAAGGTGTTCAAGTTGTCTCCCTTGTTTGCCCCCATACTAGCCGAACCCCACGGCCGGCCACAGGGTCCATTCTCCCTCCCAGCGACCCTACAGAGGGTTCCAAGCTTGTCAGTCTTCACGGGAGCAGACAGCCTCATCTTCCCACTGAAGGGCTCCCGGCTGGTTTTCTGTTTTGTTTCCAAGTGAATGTCTTTATGATTTTTAGTGTCCAGAAACAAACAAAAAAATGGGAACATCATCCCGGAAATCGCTTTCCTCCCGACCTTGCAGGGAGTGATCAACGTCTGGGTTCCGGTTCCTCTACCATTCTCCTTAGCCTCTGCAGTGATCCAGAGGCTCGCTCTGTAGTGCAAAAGCATATTTTCCCTAAAAATACCCACGCAAAAAATATAGATTTCCCATCTGGGCCATGATATGCGCTGGGCTACTTAACCACAAGGCCAGCAGTTGGAAACCACCAGCAGCTCCACGGGGACAGGAGGGGCTTTCAGTCTCAGAAACCCCTAGGGGCAGTTCCACCCTGTCCACTAGAGGCGCTGCGAGTCGGCATGGCTCTGATTAGAATCAGAGTTTCCCAGCATAGGCAGCACCACCCCCTCCCCACTGTGGACTGCTGTGACCATCCAGAGGTCTGTTTCATCCTGGGTGCTGGGGTGGAGCTCAACACATTTTTTTAAAATCAATTTATTGGGGCTTATACAATTCATCACAATACATAGATCAATTGTGTAAAGCACATCTATACATTTGTTGCCCTCATTATTCCCAAAATTCGCTTTCCTCTTGGGTTCCCGCTCAGTTTTTTTCTGGAAAGGGAGTGGGAGGCCAAACCAGGGGGCCTAGGTGGTTGGTGGTGCCATTGTGTGGCTCTGACCCATGGTACTCCGGGCACAGCAGAAGGAGACCCTGCATGGTCCTGTGCGTCCTCACAATGGTTCCCATGCCTGAGCTCATTGTTGCAGCCGGGAGTCCATCCATCTCATGGAGGGCCTCTGACCAAGCATGAAGTCCTGCTCCAGACTGGTCTTGCCAGGGAGTGTGTAACACAGTCTTGCCGTTCTTGCCTCTAAGGAGCTCGCTGGCTGTACTTCTTTCAAGACTGATCGGTGAGGGTTATGGGACTTGGAAGCTGGGTGAACTCCTCAAGCCCAACTTTTGATTCAAAGAGGGATGGAGAGCCTCGGGCCCCAGGTTTCTGCACAGGGGACCTGGGCAAGGCACCCTTCCAGGCTCAGGGAGCTTCCACCGTGGGGCCAGACAGAGCCAGCAGCTGAGCATCCATTTGTTTTCCTTGGAACCGTGGCAACCACAGTCGGTGGCCCCGGACCTCTTTAAAGCGTTGAAGAGCAAGGAGGTCACTTTGAGGACGAAGGTGGGCCTGACTTCAAGCTGTGGCGTGTTCAGCCCGCTCCCATGCATGGGAAAGCTGGACGGTGCGTGAGGAAGGCCGGAGCAGAAGGGATGCTCTTGAAGGACGGAGCGAGTGAGTGCTCCCTAGAAGTGAGGAGGGCAGGCTTCATCTCACGTGCTTTGGACGTGTGGTCCTGGAGAAGGAAGACATCGTGCGTGGTAAAGTGGGATGGCGAAATAGAGGAGGGCGCCCCGGGAGATAGACCGACACAGTGGAGGCCGCGGTGGGCTCAATATTAAACAATTGCAAAGATGGCGCGAGACCGCGGGGCGGCGTTTCTTTCTGTAGTATGAGCCGGAACCGGCTCCACGGCCCCTAAGAAGGCAGTTGTTAGGAGAGGAGCTGCCTGGGGGTCTGGCTATCGAGCACAGAGTAGCTATGCCCATTGGGAGGGCAGGCAGGGCTTTTCTGGGAA